CACACACACACACACACACAAAAAAAAAATAAAAATAAATAAAGAAGCAGAAGTATGCACACGAAAATGAGAAGTACACGCTAGCACGCGGCACAGATAGAGCCTCCTCTTTCGCCTGTTTCTCGGCCCCTTGGGTGTGCACCTGCCTCGTGTCGTAGGGCAGAGAAGGGCGACTCTACGCCTAACCGGGATCTAGAGAACGGTAATTTCCTGTTCCTCCGCAAACGGCGGCCTACTGTTGAGGCCCTCTCACAGCCACATTTGAATCGGGTGCCACATGGGAGCAGCTCCTCGCCCTTCGCTGTTCTGGTTGACGTGGCGCGTCAGACTCTGCAGCGAGCGTTAGCCCCGCCGATGGGCCCGGGGCTTTTCGGTGAAGGATCGTCTCGACGGCCATGAACTGCCCGCAGCTGAGGCAGCTTCTCATTCACAAAGCAAGGTACAGAAATGTCACGGGAAACTTTGTACGAATACCGAATTAAAGGCGGGACGCTCTTCACCACGAAAAAGCCGCGAGGAAACAAAAAGCGGGTGCACAGCCTCTAGGGCAGGGGGAAAAAAGAAAAGGCGCGCCGGCGTGCCCTGCCTCTCGAATTTGTGGTCGGGTGCGCGAGGCGAGGTCCCACTTTCCCCGACCCTTCACATTAGATCTGACCGTCAATTGCGAAGATCGACGATCTGATACTGAGAGACCAACGGACCTCAGTTGGTAAACAAATCTGATACTCAGAGACCAACGGACCTCAGTTGGTAAACAAATATGAACTCCTGTCCTTGAAGTCCTGTCTTCCCCCGAGCATAACGTGTATGCGTTGTATTCGAGAATTGTAAAAACACCAAAGTCTTGTACGATTAGTCCCTAATCAAAGGGTTCTCGGACTCCTTTTTTGTATTGTTTAGATGTTTTGAGACTTTCGAAGAGCCCTTCAGTCAAGGAAAGAAAGTTTCGCCGCCAATTTTCGGAGGGCGCCCGCGTGTGTCAGCATGAAACCTAATAGAAAGGCAATTCGAGCAGAAAGCATATGTGTTGTATTCCAATAGAGCATGTCTGCAGCGGGCCTCTATCTGCCCTGGCATACAGCCAGGGCCTATTCGGCTATTTGCCAGTTCGGTACCACTGTCGGTACCAGTCCAGTCCAGTCCAGTCCAGTCAGTCCGCTAGGGGTATACCCCAGCTGCAGTCTGTATTTCGCCATTCTTCACTTGTGCACATCTTAGAGTACGTGCGTGTTGAGTCTGCGTCGGAGTTACGCTGTCCCTTCCAGCTCCATCTCTACCTCCTCCTTTGTCAACCCTTCTTCTCCATCCTGACAAACCGCCATCCCGGCAGGTCCGGCACACTGGTATCAGAGCGGGAACGGTCCCCGCTCCAACCCACCCACCGCCCCCCCGTAACAGGGAGAAATCGGTGCAATCCCGATAGCAGAATTTTCAGAGTTTTGCAGGGCGGAAACAGCAAAAAAACGGGAGCGTGCAGAGGCTGACACGTGGCGAAAAACGAGAGTCACTGTCACAATGCGGGCGCACGCGCACGCACCACGCTGGCCCGCTGCCCCGCCTTGTTCCTAAATTATATTATTTAAGATCCGGGATATTGCAACTGTTAGGGTTTGAACCTGAGCAGCTGCTGCTCATGCGTGTACGTGGCCAATGCCTAAACACACCGGCCCCCCCTGCCCTGACATACATCCAGGGCCTATTCGGCAATTTGCCAGTTCGGCCTGTGGGACCAGGTCGTGGCCTGACCCCACAGGCCGTGTACTGTTTCAATCCAGTTCATTCCTGCCCCGTACCACTGTCGGTACCAGGCCAGTCCAGTACAGTCCAGTCAGTCCGCTAGGGGTATACCCCAGTTGCAGTCTGTATTTCGCCATTCTTCACTTTTGCACATCTTGGAGTATGTGCGTGTTGAGTCTGCGTCGGAGTTGCGTTGTCCCTTCCAACTCCATCTCTACGTCCTCCTTCGTCAACCCTTCTTCTCCATCTTGACGAACCGCCATCCCGGTAGGTCCGGCACACTGGTATCAGAGCGGGAACGGTCCCCGCTCCAACCCGCCCACCACCCCCCCGTAACAGGGAGAAATCGGTGCAATCCCGATAGCAGAATTTTCAGAGTCTTGAAGGGCGGAAACAGCGAAAAAACGGGAGCGTGTAGAGGCTGACACGTGGCGAAAAACGAGAGTCACTGTCACGATGCGGGCGCACGCGCACGCACCACGCTGGCCCGCTGCCCCGCTGCCCCGCCTCGTTCCCAAATTATATTATTTAAGATCCGAGATATTGCAACTGTTAGGGTTTGAACCTGAGCAGCTGCTGCTCATGCGTGTGCGTGGCCAATGCCTTAACACACTGGCCAAAGTCACACTGTGAGCTTATATTGTGGCTTGCTGTTGTTAAAGAAGTGCATCCGTCAGTGAGCAGTGAGCAGCGTGCGGGAATACAACTATTTGCCCCCTCCTCCCCCCCCCCCGGGTGGTGGGTGTTGCCGCCTGCGCACGTGGTTGTGTGCTGCCTCTCTGCAGTGCCACGTGGCAGCTTGTTGTGGATCTTGAAGACCCCCCTGGCTAGGGGGCTGCACTACAGTGTCATCTGGGTGGCTGATCAAGATCTCAGGCCACCTCATAGATTATTTTTTTTGCAGTGGCATCAGGCGAGCAACATCTTGAAGGTCAAGATCCTGTGGGGATCCTGTGGATCTTGGTAGTGCTCTGCTCTTGGTCACCCAAAAGCTCGGTATCACCATCCTACCCACTAACCTACTCTCCCCCCCCCATCATGTAATCATATTTTTTAACCCTACCACTAATCTCTCCTCCTACATCCCTCTTCAGTCATCTTCCATAACTTTTTTCTTCTCTTTCCTCCCCACTCACAATCTTCTACTAATCTCATCTACTCCTCTCCACCTTTTCTGTATCCTTTTCTCCCATTCTACCACCCTCCTCCCCCTCTTTCCCCCCCTAACTACAACCCAATAATTTCTCCCATCTCCCCCTTCACTTTTTTTCTCTTTCTCACCTATTTCTCTCTTTTCTTTTTACTTTTTCATCCCCCCTCCCCCCCAATTTCGAAAATTTTATGTTTTTCATCTTTTTATCTTTCTTTTTTATTTATATTTCCTCATTTTTCCAAAAATTCAAATTATTTTATTCCACACCTTCTTTTCTCATTTTCTGATTCATTTCATTTTATTTTTTATTTATATATTTTAAAAATTCGAATTTGTTTGTGGCACCCTCAAATCTGATTAGGAGTTACTCATTTTTGCTTTTGGCACACATTTTGACCCCGTGGGGATAACAAAGTGCTGCCAAATTTTTCTGTTTTTTTTCTTTTACTTAGTTTTTTTCAGCACATTTTGACCCCTTGGGGGTAACGAAGTGCTGACAAAATCTTCTCACTTTACTTAACCTTTCTTCTTGATGACACACTTCGACCTCATGCGGGTAACAAAATGTTGCTGAAATTTTTTAAAAATCCAACACTTGGTTTCTCTTCACCTCCTCATCTACTTATTATTATTATTTTTTTTTAATTTATAATTTGCGGCATTTTGAACTTTAGTGCGCTCATCTTGGTCTTTCCGTCCTCTTGGCACATTCTTGACCCCTTCGGGGGTAGGGAAATGGTGCAAAAAATTAAAAATAAATAAATAGTACTTCTCTCTTCACATATTGTTTATTTATTTCTTTAATTATTTTTATTATTATTATTTTTTTTACTTTTATCTCAAAATTTCATTGCTTATTTGATTTTCTCTCCCCCTCCCTTCCATGGTTATTATTTTCTTTCCTTGATTAGGTCGCCGCTACCCTCCCTTAACCACCCGAACCCGGTTAGGGTTTTCTTAGGGTTTTTCTAGGGTTTAGGGTTCTCCTAACCCTCCTAGTCTCACGCCTCCTTCCGTCGGGCACCCTGGACCCGAACGATTCGTCTCCCCTCGACTGGATTCACGCCACCATCTCACGCGTGACCTGCGGGTCACGGGCGAGCCGACCCACGACTACCCACTCCGCTTTCGCGGTCCCCTCCCTCTCACTGGTGGTCCCCTGCCCCCATACCACAACCCATCTCTCCCTTCATTTCCCACCATGTCTATCTCTCTTCCTCCACTACCCACGAACGGGACTATAGCTGGGAGATCGTCGCGGCACCCTCCGTCTCTCAGGCGCCGACCCAACCGACGGTTCAGGGTCAGCACTCTGTGGACCCCACAGACCTTCGCGTTGTTCTTACGTCTCTCCTTGCACCCCTGGAGAGGCAAGTTAATGCGCTCGCCCTTGAAGTTCACCGCCTCAAGGGTTCTCCTCATCGCTCTCCTCACCGCTCCTAGACCCCATCTCCTACCGGCTTAGAGTCCGACTCTCCATGACTCTAGAGACGGAGACGTGGTGGTTCGTCCTCCTCCGCGAGCCAGGCCCATCACTCCCCCTCCGCAGTGCCGAGTGTTGCTGCCACTCAGACCATATCGTCTATTGCGGCACATCTATTGGCCCCCGCCGCTCCCGCCGCCCCTGCCGCTTCGGCCACTGCTGCAAGTGCTATCGCCCAGATACCAATATCTGGCCAGGTAGTTTCATCTACCCATCCCGGTGTTGCTTCCCAACGTCCTGCACC